CTTGATAAGATTCATGCGAATTTCCAAAAGAATAGAATCTCGTTGATATATTTTATTGCAAAAATTTACCTACTCGAGCTACCCTTGGCAATTAATTATATCTTCGGGTGAATCCGCAACTCGCCATTGATTTCCCACCACCGATACGAATCCGATATTAAACTTACTAAAACACGGGAAGACACATTCCCACGTTTCCCGCGTCGGATCGGACTTCAAGTCCGTTAGCGTTTCCATTCCTGATTTATGAGCGCTCGATACCGTGATTCTTACATACCTAGTAGCTTAGAATTCTGGAATGTTTTGAACATCATTCAGCTTCCGTATAAGAAGAAATTAAAGTCGACGCCTAGGCTCCTTGAAAGCTAACATCATTCTTCCGTCATATCCCACATTGTAGAGTTCTCAAACGAAGGAGATTTGTTTGCATGAGTGAGTGTGGCACGGGATATATATATATATATATAGATGATATCAAGTTGAGCTGCCTGTAGTCTCCACGTGTCGACCTGCCTTGAATGAAAAGACTTGCGTCTTCTCATGTCTCGACTTGCCTTGAATGATTATTAGATCACGTGGAGATAGTGATAAGGCTGTGTATTGAGGTTTATTCCGCACCGTGAGGTAATTTATATGAATCTTGAGCTCGTCCTAAAGGCTCTTAGATCCATTTTGACACCATTTTGACACCATTTTCAAGAATTTCTTCCAAGGTTCCAATATGTTGTGACACATAACATGTAAAGATCCTGTCTGATGAAGTGGAGAGATTTGTGGACACTCTCGATGGAGAATATCCAAGATCAAATTCTAATCTTATCTGATCAAAAAGATAATCGAGATAAACAGAGATCTCGGGGTCCGAGGCGAGCTACTATACAGAAATCCCATGGAAACTATTCATCTGGCCAAGGAAACTTTTCACTTCTTCCCTAGTTGAATATCCTCTGTAAATGGGTGACTGTACTCGTGAGAATGGTGCGATTCCCAGCATCGTGCCACAGTCTTACATCCTTACATCCAGAAGTGTCATCGGTTTGGACCCTTTCCGATCTTATGCGAGCTCAGCCATGGAGAGAGAAAGAAGTTCAGTGAAGACTGCAGATGCTGAATGTAGCTTGTTTGCCTCACAGTCGAAACGCAAAAGGTCGTATCCGACAAATAGCCAGAGCTAACGTGTGAAAAAGGTTGCTGATTTGCCAGCCGCTTCTCGAATAGTAAGCTTTCACGAATTTGGCTTGACCTTGTCGTTCGTTCCTGCATGAGCTAACCAATATCACAACCTCATTTGACCCCTACTCACCAGGACTCACCAGGACTCACCAGTACTCGCACAAGTTACAACACAAGAGCTGCACCCGTACTGGGAACTTTTGGTTTCAACCGCCACACTCGCTCATTGATCCCACCACATCATCGGATAATGCAGTTGATGGTATCAAGGTTTCTCTGCCGGAGGCCGATGTCGTGGTATGATGTGGACTCTGATGGAGGAGAGGTGATGAATCCCGTCACGAAATCCAAGGGTCTGCATTAATTAGAAGGGGTTCAATTCTCTATAGCATATCCGATATCAAATGTATGCGCGTAACACTATATCATGCTCTTCCCTTTTCAGGACGTGAGAGATACAGACGAAGTTTAAATTGTATAGACTTCCTCCAGCGACGGTGAGAGAGGAATCGGCATGATCAATCATTGAAAAGTTGTTGAAATTCTTCGTATATATATTTCTATACACACGCATACATACACTTTCACACACACACACGCGCGCATATACACGTCTATTGTGTATGTATCGCTTGGGGATTCAGGTCGAATCTTCGAATCTCTGCATCCATCTTCATATCGTCCAATTCTCTCTAGATATCACATACCACCAGGCCTCGAGTACATGTCTCATATACCCATCGGTGACCGGTCACTCCAAAATCTCCACTGTTGGTGAGCATGTTGTCTCTCTCTTAATCTCGTTAGTGAGCAACTGTTGAGGGAAAACCTTAACCTAACCACGAATGGCGTGAAGGGTGCTGAGTGGACATGGACATGGGCTGAGTTGGCGGTGATTTAGTGGGGAATTGGAATTATGTTGTTGATACAGATAATCAAAAAATTCGATATAAATTTAATAATTCTTTATCAGAGTTCCCCCCTATTTCCCTCTGGATTTTCTATATCTATATCTATTTCTATTTCTACCTAGAAGTGAACAATCTCTTCTTTATCATTCACTTGTCTTACTACTAGTTTCGAACAATACTAATATCAATCTTTGTCTTCAGTCTCGTCAATTCATTCTTGACTGTACATACAAACAATATTTAAGAGCTTGCTCTCTAGATCCCTTTTATCTTATATCTTCACATCAACCTTTCGAACTACACATACACCACCCCTCGCCATCATGTCTACTCGTCCTCAAAACATCGGCATCAAGGCCATTGAAATTTACTTCCCAAGTCAGGTAATTCACCAGATCTTCTTTCCTACTCCACTGCAAAATCCCGTTTGTTTACTCGGAAAACTAACTTGTGTGCCTTTCCCCCCCATCAGTGTGTTGCTCAAGATGAACTCGAGAAATTCGATGGCGTTAGTGCAGGAAAATACACAATTGGTCTCGGTCAAACCAAGATGAGCTTCTGCGACGATAGAGAAGGTAAGAATTCATATAGTCGCAAAAGGTGTTTGAAATTTTACTCATGCGTGGCATCCTGCAGATATTTACTCTTTTGCCTTGACCGTTACCTCCCGCCTTCTCAGCAAGTACAACATTGATACCAACACCATTGGACGTCTTGAGGTCGGTACAGAGACTCTCCTCGATAAATCGAAATCCGTAAAATCAGTTCTTATGCAATTGTTTGGGGACAACTCGAATATTGAGGGAATTGACACTGTTAATGCATGCTACGGTGGTACCAACGCGGTTTTCAACGCTGTCAACTGGGTGGAGTCATCTGCATGGGATGGAAGAGACGCCATTGTCGTTGCCGGAGATATCGCTTTGTATGCAAAGGGTGCTGCGCGTCCAACTGGAGGTGCTGGAGCTGTTGCCATGTTGATTGGACCAAATGCTCCAGTTGTTGTCGAGCCTGGTCTTCGCGGATCCTACATGCAACACGCCTACGATTTCTACAAGCCAGATCTCACAAGCGAATACCCAATTGTTGACGGTCACTTCTCTATGAGATGCTATACCGAAGCAGTTGATGCTTGCTACAAGGCATACAACAAGAGGGAACAAACTCTTAAGCCTCTCGCCAACGGACATACCAATGGTGCCGTCGCTGAGGAATCAACAAAGACTCCTCTTGATCGTTTCGATTACATGTCTTTCCACGCCCCTACTTGCAAGCTCGTTTCCAAATCATACGCCCGTATGCTCTACAACGACTACCTTTCTAACCCAACCGCATCAGCTTTTGCTGATGTACCAGCTGAGTTGAGGGATTTGGATTACGCCAAGTCTTTGTCCGACAAGGTTGTCGAGAAGACATTCATGGGATTGACCAAGAAGCGTTTCAATGAGCGTGTTCAACCTAGTATCCAAGTCCCAACATTCTGTGGAAACATGTACACTGCCAGTGTTTATGGTGGATTGGTTAGTTTGTTGAGCAACGTTGATAGCGCTACCCTTCAAGGAAAGAGAATTGGTGTTTTCAGTTACGGAAGTGGTTTGGCTGCCAGTTTGTTCTCATTGAAGATCAACGGCTCTACTGAGACCATGGCAAAGGCTTTGAACTTGCAAGAAAGACTCGACGCTCGCAAAACCGTCGCCCCGGAAATTTACGAAGAGGTAAGAATATGTTATGAACTTTACTCCTCTGATTCCAATGCTAACACAAAATAGTTCTGCGCTCTCCGCAAAGAAGCCCATCTCCAAAAGTCATACACACCCAAGGGTAACCCAGATACCATCGCCAAGGGTACCTACTACCTCAAGAGCGTTGACGAAATGTTCCGCAGAGAGTATGAAATCAAGGCATAAATTCTCAAAATCAATTTTAATTTGACAGCGATTCTTTCTGCTTGCGACTTGCATAGATTACATAAGACAGCTACTCTCTTCCTTCGAATTGCATGTTTACGATTATCCTCTACATAGAGCGTGATATTCGCTTGCATATACTCTTCACGTCTAGATAGACCAAGAGTATGGTAGATATAGGTTCTGGGGAATGAAGGGGAGGGATGGGGATGGGTATAGAAATGACAATGCCCGGGATGATCTCAATGAAATAGGATTCTTAATATTTTCGATACAAATGATGGAAAGGTTGGGGAGAACAGAAGCAAGATTTAAGCATTGTGTGGATGCTGGTGAAATCTTCTTAGGTCTTCACCTATAATGGATGTAGACAAACAATGATAGATATCAGAATCATAATTTTGGATCTTGGTTCAGAGATTTTTATCACTTGCGTTTTTGTAACAATTGATTGCAACCAACTTCTGAACAGGCATTTCGCTTCAGCGAAATTCTTCCCCCTCTCTTCTCTCAGCCTCATAACCTTAGACCTACCTAGGTTTCCTGAACATCAAACGCAAACGCCCAAGCTTGCGAGACGAGAATTTTCATTGACCAGTCCCAATCCGTTGATTTAACCATCTTCAACTAACACTAAGATACATGTTCTAGAAATTGATACATCAAACAGCCGAGGTTCATTACAAGTGTATTAGCGTCGCATGTGGAGGGTGAATTGGGATCAATTGAGTGGCGTTTCGCAATATGGATTTCCAAGGTTACCCTAATTTGAATTGTATTCTCGTGTTTGATGTTGGCTTGAAGTTTTGGTATAAAGGCTTGAGCTGAAGCCAAGTGGATTTCTAGTAATCTCTTCCAGAGAATCTCTCATGCTGGAGACAAATAAATAAGCCCAACCCAACAGTTGGTCCATCTATATACCATCCAATTTCTTCACATCCGCCATTCCTCTTTAGGCCATACATTTCCCAACACCTCCTCGCATTTGCCACCCAGATCAGCATCAGTCATGGAGACAAATTCACCCCTCTCCATAGCAAAACTCATGCTCCCAAAGATGCCCATGATAGGCAAAACCCTTGTTTCCCACACTCTAGGCATATCCCCCCATTCCACCCACTGGGATCTCAAAACCGAACTTACAGTCAATATTCTCCGCTCCTTCCTGTACGCCGCCCCATCTCCCATTTCCAAAATCCAAGCTGTGACTCTACAGGATTCTGGCATCAAAGGCCGGATGTGGATCTCTAAAGTCACGCTGGCAATCCCCTCTGAAGATGATGTTCGTCAGAGGCTATTCAAAGTTATAGAGGAGATGAAAGTCCCACTAGACCCCGGAAAACCGTCACAAGAAGGAGGATTCCAAAAACCAGATTTACTCCCCGTAGAAGGCGAATGGACCGGTCATCGCGGCTATGCGCCTAAAAATGCGCCGAGACTTCGGATCTCAGAAGCTGAACAATACATCGAGATGATGAAAGAAGTTACTTCTCCCGTGACAATCCTCTATATACACGGAGGAGCACACTGGCTTCTTGATCCCGCCAGCTATCGCGGCCCATGCAAGAAACTCGCCAAACTCACAGGCGGCCGAGTCCTCTCTCTTCGATATAGACTTGCGCCTCAGAATCCCTTTCCGGCTGCGTTGCTAGACTGTCTAGTCGCCTATCTGCACCTCCTCTATCCACCCGAAAACTCATTGCACACCGCTGTTCTCGCAGAAAATATCATCCTATCTGGCGACAGCGCAGGCGGAAACCTCTCATTATCGCTTCTCCTCCTGCTTCTCCACCTACACAAAACATCCACCCCCATACTCTGGAACTGTGTATCGCGGCTCCTCCCATTACCAGCCGGTCTAGCGCTTAATTCCCCCTGGACAGATCTTCTCCGCTCCTCGCCCTCTATGGAAACAAATAGTAAATACGACTACATACCCCCGCCATCTCTCTTTTCCCCCTCCCATTCCATCCCCTATCCGCCTTGCAAACTCTGGCCTACCCCATCTCCACGATCGAACATCTACTGCGAAGATGCGATGCTCATCCATCCTCTTGTGTCACCGCTAGCAGCGCAGTCAAGTGCATGGGAAGGGAGTCCACCGATATTATTCATGGTGGGCACCGAGTTGTTGAGCGATGAGAATAAGATATTAGCGCGGAGATTGGTGCGGAGCGGGGTGAGCGTGCGATGGGAGCAGTATGAGTGGATGCCGCATTGTTTTGCGTTGGCGCTGCCGCATTTGAAGGGGGCGAGGAGGTGTTTTGAGGGGTGGGCGGGGTTTTGTAAAGAGGTTGGGGGGAGAAGGAGGGTTGATGGGGAGGAGGAGGAGGATAGGGAGAGGGAGAGGGAGAGGGAGATGGAGTGGAGAAGGGTAGAGACGAGGGGGGTGATGATTAGTAATGCTAAGGGGATTAAAGAGACAAGGGTTGATGTGGAAGGGTTGTGGGATGAGAGTGATGAGATTGTGACTGAGAGGATGAATAACCAAGCCAGGCTTTTGGAAGAGGAGGGGAAGATGAAGACGGAGAATGGGAGCGTAAATGGGGCTGGAACTAATAGGGCACGACTTTGAGTTTATGCGGATAGAAGTTTATAATAAAATAGAAGGTAGATGATATTCTGGTCCAAAGTACTTGATATCAAACATGAATTCATGATAAACGTGTAGGACTATATGAGAATGACCATTGTCCCTCCAGGGCTCAGACTGTCAGTGTACGTTTAAATAAGTTCTCAGACGACTGATAAACCTAGCGCCAAATAAATAAACTTCCCTGCCATTGAGAAAAATATAGATATCCGCTTGTATAATAGAATCAATACAGATTTTTGCGTTTCATTATATTATATTGTTAACATCCTACGCGATATATTCCAAGATCTCCGGCTCCAATCATTAACACCCTAACGCGCCGTTCCATGCAATTTCATTGACTCCAGATATGCTGATGTTAGATTTATGCCTGAGCTGATCCGCTTGCTTCCGGTGTTCCATTTGCGGTGGTAGTGGTTGGGATAGAGCTAGTGCTCTTCGTGGCAGCTGCCATTTGCCAAGCTGGAATTTTTGCTCCTCCCGCTGGCGCACCGGTACTGAAATTGAATGGAGTGACGTTTCGACCTTGAACAGATGCTACGGCTTCAGTACCTGAGCTGGTACCGACCGATGCTGGTCTAGGAGTGGTAGTTTCAGTTGGTGAATCAGCGGCAGGTGTCGAGTTGCTAGGAGTGGTAATCGAAGTGATTGGAGAAGGAGTTGATGGTAAAACTGAACTTTGAGCTCTGTTGTATGGGGTTACATTCGAGGCTGGGTTAATTGCCGAGGTTGGATTCATTCTTTGGCCCATCAACGTCTTCAAACTCTTCATTTCCACAGCCAACTCTTTCAATCTATTGTCTGTCACTTCCTTCTGTCCTTCCATGGCTCTGGGTATTAAATCCTTGAGGCCCCTGACCTCATCGCCCATACGACGAGATTCCTCATCCCTTCTTCGACTGGCAGATTTCAGTTCGCTGATCACAGTCTCTACTTCGGTTAAGGCTATGTCTAATCGTTCTGTTCGTTCTTGCTCAGTTGTCTTGAGAGTTTCGGTATCTTTAGCTAACTGGTCAAGAAGAGAGAATGCTTTTTCAAAAGAATCGTCAATCTCCTTCTTATCTTGTTCCAGCTGAGGAGGTGTGGGAGGAGAGATTATTGGATAGATATAACGCTGAATGTGTTAGTCAAGTCGATGCCTCCGAATAAGCTGGACCCTTACCTTAGCCAGAAAATATGCCCCGTATCCTATGCCACCCGTTACCGTGGCCATGATAAACCAATCTCTCCAGTCTCGCTTTGGCACTTCGGGCGGGGGAGGCTGTTGCCATGGATATTGTTGATAACCTCCATACCCAGGCTGAGGTTGCCTCACGAGTTGTTGCTGTGGTGCATAATTCGAATAGTTTTGTGGTGCTGGCGATTGTTCGCCGCTGGCTCTTCCTAATGCCGCATCGACTTCCTCCTGTGTAAGGTTTTTTGATTGTAAAAACGCGATTCGATTCTCTAAGGGTGATGCAGAGACACTTGGGTCTTGAAGAACTATTGAAATATTAGAAATGTTGAAGCCATCTCAGCTGGAATATTCTCACATGCAACCTAGTGAAGCATCAGTATTAGGTTTCAAGTAGGAGTTGGAATAACTTACGGCAGATACCACAAGTTCCTCACGAATCGCCATGTTGAGTATAGATGAAAAGGAGAGAAAAGGAAAACCAAACTTCTTCTCACCGTCAAACAAATACCAAGCTGGGAAATCTGGGGAACTGAACACTAAAATATGAATGGCCGGAACCGAGGTACCGCGTCCTTTGCTCCCTTTCACCTTTGTCCAGATTCCCTTGAGAGCACGTGATCGTCTTATCTAATCTGGAAGCTAAACCAAATTGAATTGTTTACTTTCCCCAAGCGTTGGCCCTTCGATACACCAAACTCAGAAGTTTTGTTGTCGCAAATCTGCATGTTTATGTAAATAAAAATCACTTATGATAAACAACCTTTGACGATATTCAATATCATCTTTCATATAGAAAGAACTCATCACATATTCTTCTTAAAGGGAAGCCTCATTTTGAAGGATAATCATTGAAAATGTCGCAAGACACTGGTCCTTTCTCCGTTCGCCGACCCAGAGAGGTAAGGATCCTTCTACCCCCCCCTTCAAAGGTTTAATTTAGATGGTTCCATTGCTCATTCCGTGTAGACCTTAGGAAGCATCAACTACAATTCGAGTTTACCACAACCAGCATCTGCCATGAAACGATCGAATTCAATCGGTGGTTACAATAATGCACCTTTTACCGCCAGTCATGTTCGTAGTGCTGGAGCCAGACAATCTCTTGCACCTTCGCGACCAAATCAACCTTTATTCTCACGATCATCATCGGGCACAAATTTGGCAGATATAGGAACCTCGTCTGTAAAGAGGACTTCATTTCAACAAAGCGGTGGCCGAAAAAGTTATGCACCTCCTCAAATGGGTCGCGCATCTGGTGAAGGAGCAGAACGTCGAAGCAGTGTTTATCGAGCCCGAACTTCGACAAGTGGACCGATGGGACATCAAAGTTTCTTTCAAACTGGACCACAACCAGCTGGAGTACCAAAAGATCCACGTCCGTTGAGAGACCGAGCTTATCAAGGAAAAATTGGTCAAGAGTTGCTAGAGTACATGGCGAACAACAATTACGACATCGAAATGAACCACAACGTATCGGCCAATACATTGAAATCGCCAACTCAAAAGGACTTTGTTTTTATGTTCCAGTGGCTTTACCACAGGATTGATCCAAGTTATCGATTTCAAAAGGCTATCGATCAAGAGGTACCTCCGATCATGGCCCAGCTACGTTATCCATACCAGAAAAGCATAACTAAATCTGCATTATCCGCGGTTGGAGGCGCAAATTCCTGGCCACTCTTCCTTGGATTGTTGCATTGGATGATGCAGCTTGCTCAGATGCTGGATGGATACGGCACCGATCGATATGATGAGGCGTGCGCAGAAGCTGGTGTCGATGTTAGTGGAGATCGCATCATCTTCAACTTTCTCAGTAGTGCATACCGAGATTGGCTCTCTATGGATGAAGATGCCGGAGACGATGACCAAGACCAGGTTCTTGCGCCACACATTCAGGCCATGGCACAGGAATTTAACAGAGGAAATTCGAAATACCTCGATGAGATGCGTGTCCTCGAAGGAGAGCACGAAAGATTGCAAAAGGAAATCGAGACCCTCGAGAAGACGGGCTCGGACATTGCCACTTTAGACCGCAACTTCAAAATTATGGAAGATGACAAAGTGAAATTTGAAGAGTTTGACAATCGGATGAATCAAAAGTCCGAGAAATATGAGTCTCGGATACAGTTCTTGCAAGAGGAGCTCGACAAAGTCTTACAAGAACTTAAAGAAGCATCTGATGAGCGATCAAGACTACAAGAGGAAATAGATAGCCGAGGAATGAGTATGCAAGATATTGATCGTTTGAACTCTGAAATGGAAAGACTTCAGAAGGGACACGAAGCTACGCAACAGAGATTGGAGGAGGCGAGAAGAAAGGTTGCTGAAAAGGAGTTGGAAGCGAGTCGCAAATTGGAAGATCTGGAGAGAACAGTGGAAAAGTACAACAGTCTAGGATACCAAATAGGACTTATCCCATCCACTGCAATCAACGCCAAAGGAAAGAATTACGAACTCCAGGTTGTTGTTAATGAAGGACCCAATTTCTCGGCATCACAAATGGCAAGTTCTCATGCTGGAGCGAGAGACGGTGATAGACTTCTTGCCGACCCTACGACGGGTTATCAACCAGCTCATATTTTGAACCTGGATCTTCGAGGTCATGTGAAGAACAGCTTCGTCAGCCTTCGAAAAGAAATTTCCGAACGAAGGACTCAAGCCGTTGAAGAAATGGAGAAGCACAATGACTTACTCGACAACATTAAAGAAGCCATTGACGATAAGAGGAGCGAGGTAGAGGCCTTATCGCACCGTGTCAGAGCTGCGGAGGATGAGTATGAAAAGACAAAAGAGGTAAGAACACCAAAAACTATCGAGTATTCAACAGCAATTAATATATCATTAGGTTACGACAACTCAAAAGCTGGCTTCCGATGCACAAATTGAGAAGATGGAGAAAGAGTTAGCTAAGATGCGAGCTGGTCTCACTGAATCTGTGCAATTAATGGAGCAACGAGAGATGAATACCAACATTGAGTAAGTAAACCTGAGATACCTCCATACTTTTTCACACTAACAAGATGTAGGTATGAACAATTGACTCTCCGTGCCAATACTCTTCGTGAGGAATTGCATACAGAGATTGAGAAGATGTTAAACGACATCATCAAGTTCAAGGTCCACATCCAAAAGAATCTTGAAGATTATGAAGGATTCGTTGGAGATGAGGTTGAGCATGAGCTAGGAGGTGATGATGAAATCCGAGATGATACCCAAGATGTTGAGATGAGTGGATGAACGTGTTTATTGTATCTCTATTCTTTGATGATTTTGTTGTTGGAGTCTTACGTCAATGGGGTCTTTTGTATTTCAAATGGGTGCCTACTCTAGTGAATAAGGAATGGAGTTTGATGAGCAAGGAGTCAATTATGTTTTGGATGAATTATGGTGTTATTGGTTCATTCGGCTCTCTTTCTTTGGAGTTCTTGTTGGCAAAGGGTACACTGGTACTATTATGAGAAATGTTTTAAATTCAAAGGGTTATACTGTCTGAGGAATTTTATCTGTGGTGTTGATGGTGTTGATGGTAGTTGATGTTATGGTCAGAGAAACAGCTAGCGAGGAGGGGGCTGGGACAGAGTGGGAGACGGAAGAAAACTTTATGAATTTGTTGAATGTAATCTGTGCATGCAGCAACAAGGGAAATAGTGAGGGGAGTTTCATGAATGTAATTGGATGAATTTGAGGCAAGAAGCAGTGATAGAAGTAAGGGAGGGATATTATGTGGTGAAAGGTATACTTAGGGACTAGGGACTGTCTTTTGTTCATGTGACTTTTTACTGATACTATTTTCTTTGGGGTCAGTATGTGAGTAGAGAATGAATACTGGATGAAGTACTTTATACTTTATTGGATGTTTGACATGTTGATAATACCGGTCGGTAGTTGACAATGATTTGACCTATCGCAACAATGAAGTTTGTTTGCATGATAGACTAGATTCCTGCAATCCCCTCCAGACTGGAAGATCTCCTACTACGTAAGAACATATTCCGTACATATACATAGATATACCCATCCATACTCCATCGACAGGCTGAGACAGGACAGGTACAGAAATACTAGGTAGGTAGGTAGGTAGGTAGGTAGGTGATGAACCTTGGGTCAGGAAATGGTCGAAGCGTTGAGAATCTTCTGGTTACCTGGCCAATTCCTTGACCTTGAGGCTTGAATGAACTGAACTGGGGTGGGGTAGCTAGTTGGGCATTGAATAGTCGGAGGGGAGGTGTGCATGTAACCAATCTACTCACATTGGTTGAATTTGTTTCATGTGAAAATTCGCCAGTGAATAATACACCGGGCCCGGCTTCTTGGGATTTCTTATCAGTCCCTTCTCTCCCGCTTTTATTAATAATACCATATACCATACCATATCATTTGCCCGCATTATTAGCTTCACCCCTGGACACGTTCTATTGTCACTCACCGTACTCCGGTACTGTTACACCTACCTACCTAGGTACTGGGTAATTGCATGGTGCGCTAGTCCTTCCTTCCAAGCCGCCTCTCCAATCTGAATCTAAACTCATTTTTCCTTAAAGCCAAATTAAGCCAATTCATTCAAATCTTTGCATTCTCATTCATCATCCATCCATCCACCTTTTCCCATAAATCTCCACTTTCTTGCGCACATCATACCCAGTACCTGATGGTTAAGGTAGCCTGCAGGCAAGCATTGATCAATTTACATTTACATTGACATTGACATTTAACTTTTAATTCCACTTCGCGTTTGATCAAAACTGCCTTTAAACATAATCCCTAAGCAGCGAAAAGAGACACATTCTTCTCGTTTTGCGATCGCGACGACGGCGTTGGTCTCAATCTTAATAAGCTCCCGTTTTCCCCGAAGTTAAAAAAAAGTTGAGGTCGAAAGTTTTCAACAATCAAGACACTCAACTCACACTGCACAACTATCACATCCATCAACAATCAACCTCTCAACTTTCATCAACATCAATTACATCAAAATGACAGAGGTTTCCTCCACCAGACTCTATCTGGGAAATCTCCCTCGCAGCGGTAAGCTGATTCAATATCTTCAATTGGCATGCGACAGGCAAACAATCCATTTACTAACCATTTCTATTTCCAAATAGCCACCAAAGCTGATGTTGAAGCCCACTTCAACACTCATGGCACTGGCGAAATCACCGAGATTAAACTCATGAATGGATTTGGATTCATCGAATACAAAGATGCAATGGATGCGCGCGATGTCGTTCCTGGTAAGGAAATCAACAATCACACCAAATCATCTCGATCCCGAACATAATTAATAACATATTCTTCTGCACAGCCTTCCACGGTTCCGACTTTATGGGCGAACGCCTGACTGTACAATTCGCTCGTGGTACTCGCAATAGAGATACCTTTGCCAATAACCCTGAGCGAACTGCTCCTCGTCCCAGACGTACCCCTCATCGAATGCAAATCTCTGGACTTCCAGGTGAGACCAGCTGGCAGGTCTGTTTACCCCGTTCCTTCATCCGGACTCATGGATCTCAATCATTGCTATTTGGACTATATACCACATCATAATCGTTTTGGACGCCTTCCCTCTAAACATACCGTCACTGGCCAAGTTACCATTGTAATCCTGGTCAGCGACGCGCTTGTTATGGAATCTGCATTTTTCCCATACCATAACAATATGCAAGTGCATTTGCGCGGGTGACTAGGATTTCATGGATACATACAAACGTTAATCGCTATTCGCCCTTTTTATCATGTCACGACTTCCTTTTTGCTATCATTGCTTGCTATTGCCCTTGCATAACCGGATCATGGTCATTGTGGCGCTGGAAAGATGGTCTACCTCTGGAAGGTGAATCCGCGCTATCTTCATTAAAGAGATTCCCGGCTACTAATTCAAGGGCACCATCCATCCTTTGGCATTCATGAAGCTCAACAGTCCAGGACAACAACTTACGTGGATTTCTGGATATAGGATCTTAAAGACTTCGCTCGTCAATCCAGCCTCGACGTCGTTTACTCGGAAACTGGTCGCGACCGTGATGGCAAAGGGTAAGTGACTTGTGAATTGTTTAGATTGGATCACTGTTAACTTTTTGCCAAACAGAAGCTTTGTCGAATTCGAAACTGCTGCAGATCTAAAGACTGCCGTCGAAAAGCTCGATGGCCGTGAATTCAAAGGTGCTCGAGTCACTTGCACTGCTGATGTGAGATCTATTCCATTTCCTACTTTACACATCTCAACTTACCATTCGCCATCGAATACCCTTTTTGTTGATGATACTAACGAGATCAAATAGACCCAACCTGATATCCCTCGTGATCGTGCTAGATCTCGATCCCCAATGCCTCGAGGACGACCTTACCCCATTGATGATTATGATCGACGTGGTCCACCCCGAGGTTATAGTCCTCGACGTGATGCCTATCGCGATCGAAGCCCACCTCGTCGTGCTTATTATGATGATGATCGTGGTCGTTATGGTCGTTCTCCACCACCTAGACCTCGTGGTCCAATCGATGATTACCCACCACCACGTCGTGGAGGTTTTGATGATCCTTATCGTCGTGATTACCCTCCGGTTGACCCATACGTCAATGGACATGGTAGACCACCTTATGATCGTCCTCCTCCAAGAGATTACCCACCAAGAGATGCCGGATATGCTGATGACGGATACCGTCGTGGCCGCTACTGGTAAATCATCCTTTCCAAATCGGTTGCATAAGTAACCATTTGGATTCTGCTCACATAACATAGATTTTTAATGACAACCGGGTGGGATATGAAATGTTCTTCTATTGATGATTCACAGTGAACAGGCCCAGGGGCGTTTTGAGGTAACGTCTTTAGGTCTTCTCACGTAAGGTTATGATGTGAATACACGGATTTCGCTAGTTGGCTCTATTCAATCTTGTTATTTTTCTTTTGCTCATTCAAAAGCATACCCGGGGATCGTTCTTTTATCATTTGTAACATGAGGACATGCTTTTTCTTTCAAGGGGTGGACATAACTTTAGGTTATGATTTTCACCCATATGACATGTATTTTAGAAATCAATGGCTATTTTATTTGCGAAGTTGTATGTGGTCTGTGCCTGTTGAACTTCCCGTGATCGTCGTATACTTGATCTACCCATGTAAGATATATCCAAGAGATCTGCCTGTTGCCGGTATGCACTTTGAAACGATAAATATAATGTGCAGAGGAAAAGATGTTCCATCTAAGCCTCAATGGACACGTGTAAGTATGGAGAACTCAGGAAGAGGATTGCTTGAATAGGTAGAGCAGGGGGACATCGGAGGAAGGATCAGCTAATCGAGATAGATTTATTGTATTCACTCAGTCAGTGTCCCGCAAGTAGGTAGTTGGGTGGGTATCAATTGATGGTATGTTGCATAGAAACTTTGGAGTTTGGGCTCTACATGTTGAAGTGAGGATTTGGGTGATGGAATGGGTGATTGGGTAGGTGGTTGGTATATAAAATGGCTGATGGTAGATGGTAGGTAGGTTGGTATGTATCTTCGAGGATTACCTAGGAAGCTGCTCGAGGAGGTAGTTTTGCGAAGATTCTGTTGTTAGTCGGATAGGTGGATGGATGAATGGATGGATGGATGGATGGATGAGATGATATGGATGAGTGGTGAGTGGTGAGTGAGTTGAATGGGAGGGATGGGTTGGGAGGGATGGGTTGGGATGAAGCCAAATTTGACCAATCCAATCTTTACAGAATACTAGAACTTCTCGATTAATAATTGAGTGATCAATCAACGGCAAGTAGATGAGATGAATTTCCAAGGTTGGGAAGACTAAAACAAGTATCGTTCTTGAATCCTATGTCAATGTATATAATGTATATAATGTATATAATGTATATGAGAGTTGGAGCAAGTGATTGAATTATCACCAAGAGGCCATTCAGAAGTCATTATTTCGTCTCGACTTCGGGCCTCGGGAGATGGGAATCTCCATGTCCATGTTCATAATGTGCCAAAGTACCGTGCAAGCTCCATTTTAAAGTTGGGACGAGACGGAGATAAGGCGATAAGGCGATAAGACGATAAGACGACAGGACGATAAGACGATAAGACGATAAGACGATCAGACTATTTCACCGTTCGCATTCGCATTTTTTGGGTGGTCCTTGCTTGGGTCTTGAGGTGATGTATCATGTATATACGTAAGTAAGGAAGGTATCGTAAAGTACTGTAAAGTACGTATGCAATATACATAATACATACAATATACTATTAATTATTGTCAGCCTATCCATCTACCTGGGTAGTGAAAGTAAGATTGATTCAAATTGGGAAGTATTCTGTTCCATATTTCGTATAAAGCTCAATTACTTCTTCCCTTGATTCATTTCTTCCCTCTCTCTTTCTCTTTCTCTCCCTCTCTATAAATACAAATGCGCATCTCTCCTCTCCATTACCTCCTCAAGCTTCGGCATCGTCCACGACAACTGCTACGACTGCGCAAAACTTCACCAACAACATCATCATCGTCATCGTCATCGTCATCGTCATCCTCTTCTTCTTCTTCTTCTTCTTCTTCTTCTTCTTCCTCAGCCAATCCCAGTTCATCCACACCCAACCCCAATTACACCCTCAAAGCCATGTCAGGCTCTGTCATAGGCGCAACGCTCTTTGCGGCTAGCATGAGTAGTCCAACTGCGCTGGACAAGACTCCGGAGCATGCGAAGGAGAAGAGACATCATTTGAAAGAGGGGGAGGGGAAGGGATTCACAAATCCATGGGATTCGTGGAAGGAGATGGGAGTGGTGGGGATTGGGATGGCTTTGGCTAGGTAGGTTCTTTTTTATATGTTTGGAGAAGGGGAGTGGAATATGGAGGAATGAATAAGTAACGTTCAATTGGATCTGTGGCAGATCAACTGAGTTAGGAGGGTCTTTTGTGTTGATTGTTTTGTTGGGTTTGGTGTATTGTACCCATATATATCCTTCTTTCATGACGATGGTCTTAGGTGGACAGAAAGAAGATGTTGAGGGAAGTTTCCTTGTCAATATCTCCATTATTTTTGTGGCTCTTTCTGAAATATTCTGCCTCCACGACAGTGGCCCCCGGAGGGCCAGCGGAGCGTCATTTTGAGTACATGGACAATATAGAGATCCAATGGGAATATTGAAGCACTATTTATTCACCCGAACACTTTAACAAATCCTTGCTAATCATATTGTTCTATCTCACAGAGCCAAACTATCCGGAGAATTTGGCACACCAGATACAACACCTCCAACTGTTCCCGTCATAAAACCCACCTTTCTACCTACCCGTACTACGCCCTCCCTTCGCGCAACTTGGCTTGGTCATGCTTGTTACTATGTCGAATACCCTTCCGGTTTACGCGTACTTTTCGATCCTGTCTTTGAAGAACGTTGTTCACCATTTTCATTCATGGGCCCTAAACGCTACACACCTATCCCTTGCAAATTATCTGAAATTCCAATTGTTGATTTTGTGGTTATAAGTCATAGTCATTATGATCACTTGAGTCATCCTACAGTTATGGAAATACATAAAAGTCATCCAAAAGCTCAATTTATTGTAGGGTTGGGATTGAAGAAATGGTTTAAGGAATGTGGAATTGAGAATTGCGTGGAGATGGATTGGTGGGAAGATATTGATGTCACCTTATCTCCTATTTCGGGAGAGAAACGTATTTCTACTTCCTCCCAAACATCTTCCAAGAATTCTCCACCACCTTCGCCCCTTTCTTCATCTCCCACATCTATATCTCCCATAACAGCCCGCATAAGTTGTCTTCCTTCACAACATACATCTGCACGTACTGCTTTTGATAAAGGACATACACTGTGGTGCTCATTTGCTGTTACTTCCAACTCAAAATCTGTTTGGTTTGGTGGAGATACTGGTTATCGAGCTGTTCCACAAGTTCCTAAAGGAACTGATGATTATGGACCTGAATATCAACATTTACCTGTCTGTCCTGCTTTTAAAGAGATTGGAGAATTGAGAGGACCATTTGATTTGGGACTTATTCCTATTGGTGCTTATGGTATGTATTAGATTTCTTCAATTCAAGTCCTATACTTCCCTCTGTTTGTGGGAAGGATGACAAGCTTAATTTTCCCCCGCGCCATACTTTACACACTTTTTTACGGCTCCCTCCCTCACTCCCTTACCTCAAATCACTAAACTAACATCCACCTCTAGAACCCCGTCACATTTTCTCTCCCATGCACGCTAACCCTTTCGATTCGGTAAACATATTCCTCGATACCAAATGTAAACGTGCTATGGGGATTCATTGGGGAACCTGGGTTTTGACACCTGAAGCGGTTATGGAGCCACCTCAATTATTGAAGAAAGCTTTGACCTGGAAGAATATACCTGAGACGGGAGTATTTGATATTTGTGATATTGGGGAGAGTAGAGAATTTTAGATTGGATCTAGATTAGAGGGTAAGATGTAGAGGGTAGATGTTGATGAGGATAGAGATGATGATAAGATGATGATGCCATTTATAGTTATTTATCTCGGTTGTAGAACAATTCTTTGACACGCGACTTAATCAATACACTTGAATACCTATATAAATACCTATATAAATACCCAATTCTTAACAACAATCTATTATATTTCCGTGTTAAAAGTTGTATAACATATAATCATCAGGTACATCGGCACTTACAGCTAACGGTTAGAAATCTACCCCGCATGTTCGATGATCTCCCGATCTTCGGTATTTCCTTCAAAGGCTTGACATCATTTTTCAACGGTGATAGGCATATTAATTATATGCTTCGTATGGATTACAAATACGATTTTGTCATCGGAGGATATATTAATTACTAGCTTGCTATAATTTGGCCCAATTTATCCCATTTATCAATCAGAGACCGAGGGGTTTATTCGGTCTCGGAGTTTATTGCTAAGCAGAGTACAGTCTGTGACCCTCTTGGATTTATCATCATCATCATCGTCATCATCATACATAGATAGCTACGTAGCTTCCTACTTGTTTGTATTACATATACATAGAACGGAATAATCCCATTGTGAGAATATCTACCTATATAAATCGGCCCTTTTACACATCTTTCAATCCTTTGTTGCTTTTCTTCTCCTCCTCCTCCTCCTCCTCCTCCTCCTTCCTTCCATTTCTCATGTTCAAAACATCTTTCAGTCGACTCTTCCAATCTTCCAGTAAAAATTACATCGCTTCTCCTTCTCGTTTTACACCTACATTCCACACCACCAACAACACAATACGAACCATGTCATCCTCCGACTCCCCAAGCAGACCAAGCGGTCTCATCGCCACCTCCGGCATCGAGCTCCTCACATTCGGAACCCCCAATGGCCACAAAATCAGCATTCTACTCGAAGAGCTCAAAGCGGCCTATGGAAAACAATACACGTATCAAACGATCAACATTATGGAAAACATACAAAAGGAAGAATGGTTCACGAAGATCTGTCCGAATGGCAGGATTCCGGCGATCGTGGATCATGATCGTAATGGGTTTGCGGTGTTCGAGGGAGCGGCCATTTTGGCGTATTTGACGAGGAATTATGATGTGGAGAGACGGTTTAGTTTTGAAGAGGAGGACGATAGGAGTCGGGTTGAGCAGTGGGTTGCTTGGCAGTGAGTTTTTCTCTTTTTCTCTTGATGTTTTCTCGAATTCTTTATAATTCTTCTTTTTTCTGCAGAAGAAGCAGAAGATGGAGGAATATATGGATATAGATCACAAGAGCACAAACATCTGACAAACCCCAGACACGGCGGTCTAGGCCCCATGCAAGGCCAAGCAAACCACTTCTACCGACTTGCCAAAGAACGCATCCCCTACCCAACCCAGCGCTACATTGGCGAAACCGAACGTCTCTACGGCGTCCTGGACACCCATCTCGCTAACCGCGAGTACATCGTCGGTCCCGGAAAGGGAAAATACAGTATTGCCGATATCGCGAATTTCAGCTGGGTCAACGTGGCTTATTTCGCTGGGGTGGATTTAGCGAAGTTTGGGAATTTGGAGGAGTGGTGGAAGAGGATTAGTGAGAGGGAGGCGGTCAAGAAGGGGACCAGTGTGCCGAGTGAGAGTAGGCTGGTTAACGAGGCATTTAAGAAGAGACTTGGAGAGGATGAGGAGTTTAGGGAGGGAGAGGAGAAGTTGAGGAAGTTGGGGGAGGAGGCGAAGGAGAAGTATGGGTATAAGTATGCTTCGCCTTGAGTTTGATATGATCTGGGTGGATAGATTACTAGGATGGATGGATGTATGAAATGCTAGATTTGGAGAGAGAAAGAGAATAAAAATTCTATTTTAGTAAATCAATATAATCTAGAAATGATTTCATATGATTCTTGAACACTCATCACAAAAACTAAATATCAAGCAGCAAACAAACATAATGAAAAATTCTCGACTAGACTAGACCCATCTAACTAAATTATCCCAAATCTCCAATTCAAAACGCAACCATTATCATTACTATAATCAGCGTGACTTATGGGGGCAAGCCCTCAAACCCCCATTTGCTCGCTGCGCTCGTGAGTTAGGTTTATTTTAGTAGGTGTATACGTGAATATGAATATCCACACGAGTACATGATATTTATTTAAAGTCTTCACCCACAGTTATGCAGAACTATAACAAATAGAAAAACAATCTTCCTTGATTTGAAAATTGAGAATTGTGCATTAGCAGAGTCATTTTGTGGTGATGGGACTCGAGAGGAAAGGAGATTCATTAATATTAATCTAAATAGAGATTGTAACGGAATACGATACTCGAGCGCAGCGAGGATATGGGGGTTTGGGGGCTTGCCCCCATGAATATAGGGGGTTTATTGGTGGTGGAGTTGTGGTGCTGGATGCTGGATGAAGATGGAAGATAGAGGGTTGGTTTAGGGGTACGGGTATATTGTGTTTGAATCCTTATTATATGGGAAATATTCTAGTGTTTATCTGATTCTTTATGAGGGAAGTTACTTCTCATACTACTCGCTTTATAGCTTTCGGGGTTTGAGAAGTAGGATGTCGATTATGTATCCTTGTGGTTGTCCATTCAATACTACTTTTTTCCACTTCTTATCTTCTTACATCAGTCTTCTTTTATTTTTTATATATAGTTAGTTCTTATTCTTATAGAGTAAATCTACCCGAGGTGCCCCCTCAATTCGCGTGCTCTAAGGTTAGGGGTTTTCGGCTAAAACACAATCCATTCATTCAAGTGCTGGGTACCCCGCAATATCAAACCCACCCGAGCCACCCTACACTCCTCGTACAACAAGGTTGTACTTCCGACGAGTACTGCAGAGAAAAAGCTTATGCACACATGGCAATTGAGTGGTCATTCTCCCATTCAGATTCTCTAGACTTGTTTCAACTCACTGGGGTTCGTGTGGCTGGATTGCAGGTTTTTCACATTAGCTCCCGCAAGTGAGAATGGTTCGTGCGGCATGATTCATTATTGATTTATCCCGCTCCCTCTCCTTGCATGGATATGATCACCCGCCATCGTGTTGTGTTCAGTCTTCATGATTGCCGAGTTCGGCAATTTTAGTTCATGTGTCTAAAATGATATGCATAGAATTGGCAGGACTAAATTTGTTAGTGTTTCTTTTCTTCTTACGTGGAATGCGGGAATCGAATGGATTGTATGGATGTATAGGTATAGTTAAATATACAGTACAAGGATTATAGCAAGTGCTACTTTGGATATTCAGTATGATGTGAAGTGTTTTGTGCGTGTGTAGAATTTTGATATAGCTAGGGGCTTATATATTTGATGAGATAGCGCTTGAGATGTTTGCTAGTATAGACTTTCCAAATCACCGTTCTTGAACATTTTTCATCGGTTGTATGGGTGTGGCGGTGTGAAGATATTGAGCATTCAAAGGCTTTTTGTCATAGTTGTCATCTGATTGTCGATACAAGTCTCATATTGTCGCTATTCGCATATTGTATATCACCCATACATACATGTCCACGTGTTCAGACTCACCTAGCAGGTGATCTCCCCTCAAACTGGTCTTCTCCTTCTCGAGCGTCAAGCAAATCTTCCTATTTGGAGAATTCCCTAAATACACCATATTACACCCGTCTTAAATCATCTTCTCTATCCTCCTCCAACCTCACGCACGCTGGCGCAGTTGAACTACCTTCCATCTCGCTCTGCATGAGCTCCCCTTAAATGAAAATATTGAACATCCTACGCTTCTTCCTTATTCAAAATGTTACTCGGACTGGCAATCACGGCCTGCTACCTTATTACAACCGCTTTTTCATCACCAATCCAAGTGAGAACAAAGCATCAAACTACTCTTGTAGATCTAGGATATGCTCAATATCAAGGTACCTTATTAAGCTCAGGAATCACTCAATACCTAGGAATGAGATATGCATCTCCTCCTGTTGGTAATTTCAGATTCCGCGCTCCCCAACCACCTCAAAGCTTGAGTGGTGCTCAAAACGCTCAAATGGTATATAATTGATCACATGCTAAATTCGATATTCACTAATACTAGTGTTCTCTTATAGTTTGGACCGATATGTCTCGCGACTAACAATGGTCCTACATCCTCACAATCAGAAGACTGTCTCTTCGTCAATGTATGGGCACCGAGTACTGCTACACCGGCCTCCAAACTTCCAGTATGGGTCTTTATACAAGGAGGTGGATATATTTCTAATTCAAATGCCAATTTTAATGGCTCGACAGTAGTCAATACATCAAATAACGGAATTGTCTTTGTCAATTTTAACTACAGGGTTGGACCATTTGGATTTTTGACCAGTGAAAAAGTGAGAGGGAATGGTGATTTAAATGCTGGACTTCTTGATCAACGGTTTTTGTTACATTGGGTTCGGGATCATATTGCTCAGGTATGTTTAAACTATTAATTTACTGATGGATGCTAACGAAAGTATAGTTTGGTGGTAACCCGGATCATGTGGTAATTCACGGAGATTCTGCTGGTGGTGGTTCTGTCGCACTTCATCTGACTGCATAGTGAGTCTAAACATCGACTAAGATGTTCTTTCACTAACTCCATAAAAGCGGAGGAAGAAATGATAATCTCTTCATTGGTGCAATTGGCGAATCTCCTTTCTTCCCAATACAACCCCTCGTACCAGAATTAGAATGGCAATTCGATCGTTATGCAAATTCGGCTGGTTGTGGATCAGCAGACGATGTACTGGCGTGCTTGCGATCTCAAAGTACAGCGGTTCTGCAAGCTGCTAATGTTGCATCTCCGTATCCGGGACAGAGTGGAAGTCCACTTTTTTATTGGACGCCGACTATTGATGGGGATTTTATAAGGGACTATCCTTATGTTCTTTTTGAAAAGGGATTGTTTGTTAATTTACCGATTATGTTTGGAGGTTTGCTGTTATATCTCTTTAACTTTCATTAAGACATTTACTGATCTCGTGAAAAATAGACGTAACAAACGAAGGTTCGGTCTTTGCCCCCGACGCCGCGTCTCCAAACGACATATCCACCTTTTTCAAAAACAACTACCCCGGCCTCACCTCCTCAGATCTCAACTCCATCAACACACAATACCCCCTCACCACCCCCCTCCCAAAACACAACGCGTATTTCCCCTCCGCCTCCGCTGCCTACGGCGAAACAACCTTCATCTGTCCCGCGCTCTTCATCTCCACCCACCTCGCTACCTTCAACACCGTCACCCAAGTCTGGCTCTACCGCTTCAACGTGCAAGACAGCGATAACATATCCGCCGGTCTCGGCGTCCCGCACGTCTTCGAACTCCCTGCTATTTTCGGACCCGGGAATACGCAGAGCGGAGACGGAGGGAGTTATTTGAGTTACAATCGAGAGATTGTGGGGGTGACGATGAAGTATTGGATTGGGTTTGTCAGGGAGCTGGATCCGAATCGCGGGAAGGAAGAGGGGGCGCCGCATTGGGAAAATCTGGGCGTGGTGAGTGCAGCGGGGGGGAAACTGAGGAGGATGAAGATTGAGACGAATGGAACGGGGATGGAGGTGATGGAGGGGGGGTTGGTGGAGAGGTGTAATTTTTGGAGGGGATTGGCGGGGAGGATGGAACAGTAGTTTTGCGTGGGGTATGGGGTTGAGTTCTCGGTGATTTTGGATGGTGCGTGGATTGGATTAGAAAGAAGATTTATGGGTGATTGTGCAATGGGATTTGGAACTCGAATGGTTTCCCTACTAATCTTATCTCTGGCGAGATGAGATACTAATGACGCTTCACGAGGATAGGATCGGGGAATTCGGTGGGTTTACATAGGCATTCCATTGGATTGGGGTCATTCTATGAATTAGGGGTATCGTTGCATTACACTGCTGGCATGCATGATGTTTGCATTTCCATATCGATAATCCATGGGTTTTTCGACTTCAATCACATGTGGCGCGTTTTGTTACAATACCAAGCGAAACGAAGTGATGAGATGAGATAGACGAGACATAACTTTCACACAGACACTCATACTGATGATAAGTGAGAACTTTGAAGCGGATATGAGTCCTCACTTCTTAGGAAGATATATAAAGAGCTCGTTTACACCCATCCGATACACTTCTTTGCCCTTCCCCCCTCTGATTCCTCCTCCTCTTCTCTCGCTTCAAATTTACAGCACGTGGGATTTGCGTATGATATTGGGTTTGGAGATATATAGAAGGTGTAGGTAATAAGTCTACATAGCTTGTAGTAAACAAACGAGGAGATTTAGATCGGTCATCATTGATGTCTGATGATTTTGGGTAGCTTTTTATAAGGATAGAGTGATGAGATGGCTGTGTGGGGGAATGAAGTAGGTGGCATGGTGCATGAAGTTATGTTAGGGGAATGATGATATTCGATTGGGATATCTAGTATAAACTGGGACTGATTGAACAGCAATTGCAGATTTTTTCAGAGGGTAAAGATGTTTCTTGATCTGAATTCGAACTCGCTGTATCACTCTGGTGACACTTAGAAAATGATGTAGGTATGGAAACGCTGACGATCTAAACAATCCATTTATACTCCTACATCTAAGCATCTACCACTACAAGTTCATAATTCACACTTCACAACTTACTCCCATCGCTCTTCGCCCCAAGTCTCTTCGGCGGTCCCCCAACTCTTCTCTTCCATTCTTCAGAAAATGTCTGTTTCTCAATCAAGCTCTTTCTAGTCCACTCTATATACTCTTCCTGTTCTCTTCTCCACCTCTTTAATTCTTGTCCTATCCAGGGAGTCAAAGCATCTGCACATTCTTCTGTTGCTTCTTGCGCCACCAAATGACCTATTCCTTCCAGTATGACTTCCTTAACTTTTCCTTCCTTAGCTCCCCCGCTTCCTCCGTGTCCAGTGCCCGTTAAAGCCAATTTTTCAACCCGAGAAGCGGGATAACAGACGTCACTTGTAGCACCATAGATATAAAGAACCGAGGGACGGAGTTGCGGAAGTCGTAGAAGTGTATTGATTGGTTCTGGGCGATAGAAAGGATATTTTGCTGGACTAATCTCGTGTAGATCCGGGATGAGATCTGGACGGATAATAGTTTTACCATCTTCGGAGAAAGCTTCCCAACTTGGACGCATGAAGGAGAAGCATTCTTGGTGTCTGGGTGTGGCTAGGGTTGCGCTACCTGATGGCTCACTGGGGTAGATGGTAGTCGGGGTTGAGCGGATGGCATATTGACACCAGCGGTCTAGGACACGGGAATCCCATTTTGAGTATGCTTTTGATTTTCGGAAGGAAGCTTCGGCGGCGGCACGGGAAGGCCAGAGGTCGCGACGGAAGGTGGAGAGTTGATTGGGTGAGACAGTGTCGAGGGGGGTAGATGCATGTTGTTGGATTACGGGATCGAGCATTATGAGGGTGGTTAGAAGACGAGGGTGCATGAGGGAGAGGTTGGTGAGCATATTGGCGCCGAAGGAATGGCCGATTCCAACTATGGGAAGAGGCATTTGGGAACGGTAGGTATTAACCATGTGGAGGAGATCTCGGGCATGATCTATCCACGATGCTGGAAAGTGTTAGACGGTACTGGATATGATAAGGATTTGTAGAAACAAGTTGAATTAAGTAAATGAAAGAGAGCCGTGATGTTAGGGACATGTTTGAATTGTGTTTCGGATTTACATGCAAATGCCCTAATATGTATTTCTGTGTCACAAAATGACTCCTATGCGTGCAACTTGCAAGCCCCTTCATCCGCACTCGTGGTATTCGAAGGCCTACATTTCTGGATCACAGATGATACCGCTGTGATAGAACAGAAAATAGTTATCGACCAAAAGAACTAGCACGTACGATCATTTCCCAATAGCTGTTCATTTAAAACGCTACTAGCGCCCTGATGAGCTATATCTGCTATCCAGATACCTCGTATCTTAAAGCCATTGGCTTTTGCACGTGCATGAACATCTTCCCACAATGGCTCATATAATTCCTGCACATCTTTAGCTCATAGAACCATCCATCCACACGCATGGGTAAGTATACCTTTGGATAACCATTTGCATGAGCACCAATTATAGTCACATCTCCTGGTTGTGGATTGGGATTATCTCGAGGGATATATTGTTTGATTGCTAGATGTAATACATCTTCTTGGGTATTTGAGGTGGCACGAGGGTATTCCCTAATGTGTTGACATTCGAGAGTATGTTCCTTGATCTCAAAGATTGTGGAGTGCATGATGGGGTGAATGTGGGGGATGAACCCTTATTGAGTTGGATGAAAGGGAGATATGTGTAGTTTGAAGGCACAGCAAAGAGGATGAAGTGTATTGAACACTTTGACTTTGATTGGAAGAATGATATATAAGAAAGAACTGACGACTAGGTCGTATTGATAGAGAATGAGGATACCCTAGAATTGTGTACCAAGCCGGCCGGCATGCATTACAAGCCTCGGCCCCGGCCGGTAACACTAGGTTAGCGGTAAAGGGGGAAGCGGGAATTATCCAGCAGTTTTAAGTACAAGTTAATTGACCAATTATCATTTGTTTGAAACATATCGATACATCTGAAAAACAAATTTCCCTATTAATGAAGGTTTATCGATATTGTGAACAGAACACTAAAAGCACGAAACGCTTCACCCATAGACTTTTAAAGGTTGATTGAAGCGAGGAGGGGTCTCAAACTCACACGTGATTACCTGTCAAAAGCATTCAGCTCACCCCTGCCGTTTTAGCGTGTTTTGTTAAAGTACGTGATTCTAGAAACGCGCTTCAATCCGCGTTTGTGGATTTTGTAGATCAAACACAATTTCAACATTTCAACATTTCGACATTACAACAAGCAAACATTGTAGCAGTATTTATTAGCAAGGCCCTTGCCAGTTTATTTGCACTCGTTGCTACATTTCATACACTCTTTTGATTGTGCATGTAGAATTGTATCTCAATATGACTGAAGTAGAAAGTGGCGCCGCTCCCCTCCCCCTCTTCGATAGCTGTGCTATCACTATCATTGTGAGCGAAGAGCTTCCAATACCTCAAGCAAGACAGGTAGAACCCACAATAATAATCCCTGATGTTTTTTTGTGCGTACTGACATAAATTGGTAGTTAAGAGAAATTCTTGAGGACAATGGTGCTTCAGCAGAAATCAAGAAAACAGACGATAGCATGAACTTGGAGGAAGTTACCCATATTATCTCTACTACAACCGACTTCGCACGTTACGATAAAGCAGGTCTCTTGCTTGTACCAGTCATTACACCCGAATGGGTGACACAATCTTTAAGCAGACGCAGACAAGCACCAATTCGTCCATACACACCAGATGAACGATATATCTTTTCCAACGTCCACCTTACATGCGCAGATATCCCTCAGGGCGATAAAGTTGCGATAATTGGTGCTACATGTGCTATGGGCGGAATGGAGAGTAATAGCTTAACAAAATTGGTCACTCATATTTGTGCTCTTAGTATGGATCATCCAAAGTGTCAGGCGGCGAAGGACAAGGGATTGAAATGCAAAATCGTCCTTCCACAGTGGTAAGTTTTTCTACTCTGTCACACATTCTCAACTGATCAAATATAGGTTTGATGATTGCTTGAAATTAGGAAGGCGCATAGACGAACGTCCATATCTGCTCCCAAATCCCGAAATATTTCTCTTGAATCCTGAAGATAGTCTGCCAATACCTTCCTCCTCAAGACTTGAAGGTGCTACTACAGCGCACTCAGATATGCTCGAGACTCCAACTGTTTCCCCAATACAACGTAAACTGGATGTTTTTAAAGATAAGAAGGTGATGTTGTCTATAGACCTGGACCTGGGAAGCCGACTTACTAGATTACTTTCGAATCTCGTCGAACATGGGAAAGGTACAATTACAAACTCAGTACGTCAAGCTGATATGTTTGTTTGTAATTACCGGGAGGGTAGAAATTATGTTATCGCCTCTCGATCACCTACAACTCACGTGGGTAATCTTTCATGGCTTTACTATATGATTGCTCACAATACATGGACAAATCCGACCCGGAGACTTCTTCACTATCCTATTCCCAAAGGAGGTTTGCCAGGTTTCGAGAATTACAAGATAACGCTCTCCAATTATGGTGGTGAGGCACGCATTTACCTTGAAAACTTGGTAAATGCCGCTGGTGGCGAGTTTACAAAAAGTATGAAGCAAGATAATACACATTTGATCACCGCTCGAAAGGCTAGTGAGAAGTGTAATGCTGCTGCTGAATGGAATATTAACATGATCAATCACCTTTGGCTTGAGGAGAGTTATGCCAAGTGTGAGGTTCAGATATTAACTAATCCTCGTTATATCCATTTCCCTCCACGGACAAACCTTGGTGAGGTTATTGGCCAAACTCAATTTGATCAAAAGGCCTTGGAAAAGAAATACTTTCCCAAAGATCCTACACCAGGTCCAAATAGTCCAAAGCCTTCCAAAATGAAGAATTTGACGATTCGAGATCGGGATGTAGATGGAGATGGAGATCATAATATGGATGGTGAAACTGAAGATGAGGGAGCTGGAGTAATTGTATCTCCCCCAAAACCTAAAAGCAAAGGCAAGGGAACTTCCACAAACTCTACGGTCTCTACAAATGTTCTTTCTACACCGGTTGGCAAGAAGCGCACATCATTGGGCAAAGAAAATGATACTCCTTCATCGACTAGTAGCCGAAGTGCTAAGAGTAAAGCAATCAATGCCCTTCATCAATTGGCCCCTGATATTGCAAAGTACGAATTAGAGAAGAAGAGAAAAGGGCATGTATTTGGGGGTGATCGAGCTGCGAATAAAATTGAGAGGGAACGAGACTTGCAACGCAATTCGAGTCCAGTGGTAAAACATCAAGAAGAGGATGAGGATAGTGATAGTGGTAGCGAGGAGGTTGATGCTCGTCCATTAAAGAAGGCGAAAACTGCACCAAAACCAGAAGTCCAAGTTCGCATGCTTGTTACTGGTTACAAGGCTTGGTCCAACCCGGATGCGCCAACCAAAGAAGATACGGATACTGTAAGTTATTTTACCTATCATGTCACGGTAATTACTAACATGCATTAGAAAAAACTACGTAGTCTTGGCATTTCTCTGTGGACTGGTTATGGAAGAGTCAATATTATGGCTGCACCCAAGATGGTTCGAACTAGGAAATTTCTCGTCGGTCTCGCACATGGACCTACCGTCGTATCAGAGAAATATATTGAGGCCTGTATCAAAGCCGGAAAGATGCTGGACGTCGAAGACTTTCCATTGGTAGATGCAGAAAACGAAAAGAAGCACAATGTCAAGTTGAAGGATGCATTGAACCGTGCGATAGTTAACAAAGGTCGACTTCTAAACACGATTCCAATATACTGTACTGTCGACATCGATAATGGTGTTGAAACTTATCGAGAAATTGCAGAAGTCAACGGGGCTACTTTTGGTACTTTTAAAGGACGTCCAACTATCAAACCTACCAAGCCGGAAGAAGATGATGGACCTCCAGAGCCAGTTTACTTAATCAGCAGCGACAAGAGATCCGAACAAGCTCTCTATTCGAAGTTCGAAGAAATGACCAAGGCGGGAAATATGGAGCCAAGGATTGTCAAAGTGGAATGGTTATTAGATGTTGCTATGTCTCAACAAATCAAATGGGACAAAAAGTATTTGCTGAAGCGTTAATCTGAGAAAGTGGATAGTGAAGCTTCAATTGATATTCTTGCTGGCGATTGGGGATGGCGATGTATTCATATACCTTTTGGGCTTTTGGTTGGACGGACGGGGTACAAAAGAAAAGAAGCAATGCTCTTTGCAGGCTGAAGGAATTTTGGGAGCTAGATGTAATATTGATATGTAGGGTTGTATTTTAGCTCATGAGATACGTATACCATGAATTTTGTGTAGAATGAGTATTCTTGATATATTGACATAGTGATGCGTTGGTTCTGCTGAAAGGGTTGGCTAGAGATGATATAGGCAGTATTTTTGAGGAGGTTTGGTGAATTCAATATCAATAAATTTGGGGTATCATGGTTCCTATCTTTCTATATCTACAATCTTCATGTTCCTGACTCCGTATTTTCCTCATAGCTCGATGCTTAAGCCCCATATCCTCCACCAAATGACGAGATATGCATCGTAGCTCAAGTGTGCATGTGACGTGGGAATATCAACACTACTCCTCACTCCTTTAACTCCTTTCCATCCACCAGCGTCGGCGTAGGTACATCCCCCAACCCCTCCAAAAAAGCATCTGCCTGTTTCTTCGCCCTTTTCTCCCCCAACACCCTCCTCCTCTCCTCAATCTCTCTCTTCCTCTTCTCTTTCAGCCCTTCCCTCTCTTTCCTTCCCAGTTCCGTCTCCCTCCTCATCCTCTCCAAATTCTCCATCTCCTCTTTCCTCATCTCCTCATCCTTCGAAAAACTATAAAACCCCTGTCCCTTACTCCTCACCTCCTTATCCGCCTCATAATGTTTCATCTCCGGCGGCGTCGCACTCCTATCTCTCTTCTTGGCCAACTCCTCCATTTTCTCCGCGGTTTCGGCATCCAGCGTCGATGTAAACGCAGATGATTGGATGGTATCGCCGTAGATGAGTTGAGAGGGTTGCGCAGGACGAGCAGACATACGCTCTAGTTCTTCTGCGCCGAGTAGAGCATTCCTACGTTGGCGCTCTAGACGCTGCGCTTCTTTCCTAGTTACCTGACGGAAACGCCCAAATTCATCTTCATATTCGACAAGTTGATTATCATCTGCGTTCGAGGCACCGCCACCAAAAGAATCATCGCTATCGGAGTCTTCATCCTTTTCACCCCCTTCAACCCATTTGCGATCGAAATCTACGAGGCCTTCTGCGTCTTCATTTTCATCTGCATCTCCGTCTCCGAGTCTCTCGTGATCACCGCGCTTTAACCGCGAGTAAATCTTTGCTTTTTCAGCGAGTCGTTTTTTACTCTTGTGTAGTGTACTATCATCTATTCTTTCTCCCTGGCTAGTTTTTCGAATCTGGGTGTATATATTTCCATTTCCATCCTCATCATCTTCTAAATCTTTCGCGGCGCGTTTCTTGGTTCCTTTGTTGTGTGTTTTGAAGATGTACTCTTTAGTTTTTGAAGGACGAGGACGACCGCGAGTAGTAGATGATGATGAAGATTCCTGTGTTTGAGAAGCGAGAAGTGATGAGAGAGTTGAGGAGAATGCTAGGTTTGTGGAAGAGGATAATTCTTTAGCAGAGGAAGAGTGAAGTTTAGGTTTTTTGAAATTGTAAAGATTATTAGGGTCGTTGGACATTTTGGAGGAATTATTGTTGTTGTTGTGGGTGGTTGGAAGAGAGATGAAGATAATGCGATGATTGAATTGATGTAAGTCTTATATTCTCGCAAGGCTGAGGGAAACTGAGGATCTCGAAATTGTAGCCTCGTCCATCTATAATTGACCAATAGAAATTGGTAAAATGGATATTGGAGAGAGGGGTATCAATCTGTGCGAGATCGGATTATTGTGCATAGAAACAACCCCACCCACCACCTGCAATCTTTCCGTGATTGCTCATTATTCATAACATTTTGATTCTTCAGTAAGGTTACGAGCAAGAAAGACATTTGACCTTATTTAAGACAAAATAACCTGCGCAATTGATCAATCATCAATCCTCAATCTTAATCATCCACAAATCGAGTCAATATGGTAGCTAAGGAAATTTACGTTGCAGTCATTGGTATAATATATAATAAATCTTCAGTCTTCAATAGTTTGATAGATATGAGCTTCAATTGGCTAATACTTGATTAGGTGCCGGTGGTGTAGGAAAATGCTTTCTATCACAACTTGAAGCTCTTTCCCAACGATTTACCTCATCCAAGATTTCCCTCATCTTTGTTTCAAGAAGCAAGAGAGTTCTCTACAGCCCAAAATATACTCCTCTTTCATACTCCAACCTCTCAGCCACCCTCGCAGATTCCACACAAGAACTACTCTCTTTACCAAAGATCATTGAATACTTAGCAGCTGCACCTGCAAAGGTCGTCCTTGTCGACAACACAAGTTCGCAAGATGTCGCAGATGCATACCCACAAGTTTTATCCAGAGGAATCTCGATAGTCACTCCCAACAAGAAGGCCTTTTCTGGATCATATAAATTGTGGCAGGATATCTTCTCCGCAGCTTTCTCATCTGGAGCTAAGGTGTATCATGAGAGTTCAGTCGGTGCTGGATTACCGGTTATCTCCACTTTGAAGGAATTGGTCGACACAGGTGATTCCGTCACTAAAATCGAAGGTGTCTTCAGCGGTACCATGTCCTTCCTGTTTAACTCATTCGCTCCGACCGAAGGTTCAGGAGGAAAATGGTCTTCTGAGGTCGCTAAAGCAAAGGAGTTGGGTTATACTGAGCCAGATCCAAGAGACGATTTGAACGGTCTGGATGTCGCCAGAAAGTTGACAATCTTGGCAAGATTGGCAGGTCTCGAGGTTGAATCTCCAACTTCATTCCCAGTCCAAAGCTTGATCCCCAAAGAATTGGAGAGCGTGTCAAGTGGAGAGGAATTCCTTCGAATGTTACCAGAGTTTGATTCCCAGATGGAGGAAACAAAGGTTGCCGCCGAGAAGGAGGGCAAGGTCGTGAGATTCGTTGGTAGTATCGATGTCGCAAAGAAGGAGGTAAAGGTGGGTTTGGAGAAATTCGACAAATCCCACCCAATTGCTGCCCTCAAGGGAAGTGATAACATCATCAGCTTCTACACGAAGCGATATGGATCTAATCCTTTAATCATTCAAGGAGCTGGTGCTGGAGGAGACGTAACAGCAATGGGTGTCACAGGTGATCTCATTAAGGTCCTCAAAAGGCTGTCTTAAAATTATGTTATAATATCATAAAAGTTGATGCTGTTCAATCGTTTACTATCGCGCCGCTATCTATCCGTGGTTGCGCTGCTTCCTCTATTCCCTTCTTCATTTCTTCAGCTTTTTCCTCTAATATTTCTGCTATGTTGACTGCCCCATTCACTGAGGGCATTGTTAAGATTCTCGGTCGTTCTTGGCCATTCGGTCGTTCGCTCAAGCTCGGTGCACGCGGTCGTGGTCTATCTCTTGCTCGTCCACCAAAATAAGACATTTCATGGTGTATTAAGCGGAAAAGGTAGAAACCAATATCGAAGAGGAGAGTCAATAGCCAGGGCCCTATGCACAGTATACCCAGTACAAACTATGTATGATGTTAGTTCAGTGATCGAAGTGCTTAGAACCAAATACCTACAAACGTGTTTCTAGCCCACACTTCGATAAACGCTAGACTTTCAGGAAGAATGGAGAACCACGGCATGTTTTATATGAAAAGACTCCCAGGGAACGAAGATCCAAGAAATCCCTCCTTGACGTTAAAGTTTGAAAGGGCAATAGTGTTGAGAATCCGTATGCAGCTCGTGTTCCTCTCTAGAAGCTTTAAGGAAATGCTTGTTGGTCAAGATGTAGTCGCCAAGTACGAGCCCCTCGAATCAGGATGATATGGGAGTAAAAATTGAACGGTCGGTCCTTTCACATATCGATATATGGAATTTGGGAGGAATGAAGAGACAGTAATGAGAAAGAATGAAGAATGAGGGATGGAATGGCTTAAATCATTCAATGCTTATGGTGCAAGCACATACCTAGAGAGATTGTATGTAATTGTATCAGCCTCTAGCCAAGAGATGAATTCAAGTAATGGTAGTGGTAACGAATGTCGAATTCATTCCTTGATGAGATTCTCGATGTTTTTTGTGATTTATTGTAATATTGTAATTGATTGAGGTCGTCCTTGATAGTTAATGTTTATATATAATATGCTTGGGGTGAATAAGGTTGTTATCGCAATCAGATCACTGCGGTGGCCCAAGATGACGATGAAGGTTACTAGGGGTAGGTAGGTAGCTTTGTATTTTAGTGCTCCACAAGGGTTTAATAATTTGGTAAAAATAATGCTAAACATTCATAAAATAAAAAATCCACCATCCACTAACATTTTATTTTGTGCATTTGAGGTTCCATGCCAAAAAAAAAAAGTTCAGCCTTGAGCTTTTCCGTCATGCTAAAGCCTCGTTTGCACTACAACCACAGCCTCCCATTTTTTCGGACACTCACTACTCAATTATATCAAGAAAGATATCGTTGACTGTCAAGATATTTCAGAAGTTCTACCATCAAAATGGCAGGCCCACCGAATAAGAAGCAGAAAAGGGAGGATTATAGAACTGCGAGAGAAAATGGCGAGGAGAGTAAGGAATTACCAAAGAAGAAGTTCTACAGACAGAGAGCGCATGCGAATCCTTTCTCGGACCATCGTCTGGCATAGTACGTACGCTTGCAATTGGCATTGTAAGAGGCTTCATTGACTGGTATTAGTCCCGCTTCCCCAGCTCAGATGGATTGGGCTTCGCATTACCCCGCCTATGCAGAGCCCGCAACGGCTTCTGAAGGAACAGAGGAACCTTCAACTGGTGCAGACTCTAGCAATCTCAAGAAGATGAAGCAAGATGTTGAAGTTGCAGACATCGGTTGTGGATTTGGTGGTTTGACAGTAGCTTTAGCTCCCAAATTGCCAAATTCTTTAATTCTTGGTACAGATCACTCCTTACAATCATTTCACACAATTCTAACCCTTTATAACAGGTATGGAGATTCGAGCACAAGTCACAGAATATGTACAAGAACGAATTAAAGCTTTGAGAGTTCAAGAGAAGGAATCTGGTCTATTTCAAAATGCTTCATGCATACGAGCCAATACCATGAAATTCATGCCCAATTTCTTCAAAAAACATCAACTTTCAAAGATTTTTCTTTGCTTTCCAGATCCTCATTTCAAAGCACGAAAGCATAAGGCCAGAATTGTATCGACCACATTAGCCGCTGAGTATGCTTATGTAGTTCGGCCGGGAGGAATCATATATACTATCACGGACGTTGAAGACCTTCATAATTGGATGGTTACACATTTCAATGCACATCCTACTTTTGAGCGCGTTGCAGAAGAGGAGCAAGAAGCAGATGAATGTGTCAATATAATGAGAACGGAGACTGAAGAAGGAAAGAAGGTCACGAGGAATAACGGACCAAAATTTGTTGCATTATTCAAGCGGTTGGAAGATCCTCCTTGGTAAAAGAGGGGTGAAGCAGATATCGAAATATCTAGAGGAGACATCATTTACGCAAAACATGACTATAGAAGCCAACCAATGGGAATTCATGTTTATTCTGTTCCTGACGAGGATTGGGATTGTCGAAGGTCAAACAGAGAAACCTGCTGAAAAAATAATTCGAAATCTTGCCTACATTCCAATTCATAAATTGTCTATTCTCCCATTGTGAAAAGATTAACATGCTCGTCGACCGTGACTGATCATAGTGCATGTGAAATGAAATGGAAAGATTACGCGAGGACCCTGGAAGCCGAAAGCTACAACCATTGTGAGACCTCAATAGAGCTTCCAAAAAAAAGTTCTCACTAAAAATGCTGTTCATAAATACAATTGCCCTTCACAGATTATGGCCCTGAGTCGTCGGGATGTGATCTTAGCTGGTATCGCCGTGTTTTTTGCTTGGGGATTTGCTACCAATTGGATCCCGACCTTGCGCTGGATTGGATATGCATTTGTCGCAGGACTGATTGTACCAATCGTGGGGCTCATAGCTGTACTTCTTCTTACATCTAGAGGTTCACAATACGGAGAAGAACATATTGTGCGCCGACCAAAAGGGCCTGCATTTCTGGCAGCGACGAAATGGAAGAAGGAAATAGCCGCGTTACGCACACGACAAATGCATGTACGAAAGCCATTGCTCCCAGACTCCTTTATGGTATCATGCGCCCTCGACGACTTCTTAGACCTCATACTTCGCGATTTTGTGGCTTCGTGGTATGGGAGTATTAGCAGGAACCCGACATTTACCAATGAGGTCGACGAGACGATAAGATTGGCTCTTGTCAATCTGCGGGATCGATTACTGGATATAGATTTGGTGGAGGTTGTGACAACCCGTTTTGTACCTATTCTGACAGGGCATTTCAAGGAGTTCTATAATGCGGAAGTTGCTATTAGAGGCAAGAATTTGAACCGGAGTGTTACGGAATCTGATGAGTTGGACCTTGCGATAGCGGCGAAATATAATGATGGGAAACTACATGCTGCGGCATCTCTGGCCTTCTCGGATACGAAGCTGGTACAACAAGAATATCTACGGGATTTGACTCAAAAACTGCTGCCGGAGATTCTACCAGAGAATGCTATCGGGAGTCGTGCGGTGGGAGTTTTGATCAGGGAATTGGTGGCTTGTGCCGTTCTTTTCCCCATAATGCAAATGCTTTCTGATCCGGATATGTGGAATCAGATAATGGAAGCATATGTATATAACCCTAATTATCATCAACTTCGAGATATTTGCGCTAACACAATATAGGGACGTTCTATGCTTCAAGATAGATCAACTGTGCGAAAACTTCGAGCTGCACTAGATGAGCATGCATCACCCGCTCCTAAATCGAATCGTACTGCGCAGTTTCCGAGATTGTCACCGGGAGATCATGAAAGGAAGTTCGAAAAATTCATCCGCGCGATCAGGAAGACGAATAATCTGTCGGATGCCAGAAGGTTTCGAAGTGAGGTATCTAGTCAATTCAAGCGAGATGCTTTGAAGGATGGACAAGATCCGGTATACTTGCGACGACTTGATATTGGAAAGAGAATACTGGATGAAAGGGTGAGCCAATTGGCTGCCACAGGTGATCGCGGAGCTCTGGTTTCGCAACCAGGTCGCAATGGCGTTCAAGCATCAAAGCTCGAAAATGCGTCACTTGTGGATCTGTTACACGATCCTTCTGGTCTTTCATATTTCATGGAATATATGGACAGGCAGAATTGTATGTCTCTTGTACAGTTTTGGATTGTAGTCGATGGGTTTCGAAATCCTCTCGAGGATGATGGTGCAGATGACGAGGAAGTTCCGACTACAATTGCCCCTTGGACTGATGCCGATAGAACGGATCTTGCCCAGATAAACGATGCGTATCTCTCTAAACCAGAACTCAAAGTCCCGGATACTTCGAAACGTATTGTCCAGGAGTTTCTCAAGGCGGGTAATAAGGCAACTTCAAAACAATACTTTATGGCTAGAAGAGCTATATTACGCGCTCAAACTTCTGCACTGGAAGTAATGCAAGATAAATTCTTCCCACATTTTAAAAGGTCAGATCTTTTCTACAAATGTCTCACATCTCAAGAAGCTTCAAAAGTTCGCCAACCTTCTCCAGCGCCGTCACTTAATATGGAGAATACAACGCGGAAACCGTCGATAGCTCCTAGGTCAAATACTACCATGACAGTCAACACACGGTCCCCTTCTTTCTCAAGAGGTTCATCAAAATTGATTCCAAAGAGGTCAGATTTACGTCGGGCTGCCATGTCGTTCACTGATTTAACCACCCAGCAATCAGATCCTATGTCAAATTCTCGAGCCTCTCTAGATGAGGAAACTCCCTTGTTTGAAGATGACGACCTGGATAGCGATGCAATGGCAAATTCAATAATGAGTCTTGATCAAGAGCCTGGCGTGATTGTTCCAGATAACAATGTTGTGCAAGCCATGGAAGCAGCGTTGAACACGATCATGGAGGATAAGCCTAATATTGATGATATTCGAAGCTCACTATTTGGCCCTAATGATACCCCGGACTCGCCAGTTCCAAGCGTTAATTCCACGTCAAACGACATCTCAAACAGGAGTTCAAGTGATCACAAGCGAGCGGATCTATTCGGCCTTGAGAATATTAAAGGGGCTGACAGACACGAACGAACGGAAAAGCCAAGTATAGCATCTCTCGGACTTGTTAACACTTCATCTAGAATTGGTGTATTTACAGATAACGATCTATTTGGGGATGAAGAAAGATTTCTTTCCGACGAACATGACGATCCTGAGAAAGATGACGATGAAGATAACCAAGATCAAGTCCACGAGGCAGCTCCTGGTGATTTAGGTCTAGCAGAAGCCATCACTCTTCTCACTACTGATATTGATCGACTTATAGCTCAAGACGCTGTGGTTGATTCATTAACAAGAAAAGCTGAACTCACAAACAATACAGCCGAGCTTAGAATTTTGCGAAAGTCGAAAGCTAGTTTAGAAAGAGAAATTCGTCGTAAAGAGCTTCAGAGGCAACAATATGTTATCCAAGAGAGTGATAACAGTCTTTATGGACGTTCCACGATCAAAATCAAATCGATCATGGTTGGAAAAGAGGACGATGGTAAAGAGTATGCTGTTTACGTTATCGAAGTGCAAAGAAAAGCCGGAGAACAGATGCCAGCTGCAACTTGGACCGTTACTCGACGTTATAGCGAATTTCATGAACTTCATCAACGATTGAGAATCAAGTATCCATCAGTAGGACATCTTGATTTTCCTCGTAGGCGGATGGTTATGAAATTACAGGGTGACTTCCTTCAAAAGCGACGTGCGGCATTAGAAAAATATCTCCGAGAAATTCTTCTATTACCAGATGTATGTCGAAGTCGAGAGTTGCGCGCGTTTCTTTCTCAAAGTGCTTTGGCTCCAGAACTAGAAGACGCGGGTGCCATCGATAATAAGAAGGATATCATGACAAGATTCTACAACTCAGTAACAGATGGAATGGAAGATATTTTAGGAAATATTCCAGTGCTAGATCAACTTTCAGTTGCGGGACAAAACCTCTTATCAGCAGCAACCAACCAGCTCATCACCATGCCCTCAACAATAAGCGAGGACCCTCTAACAGCAGCCGAAGCAGAAGCAGAATTGAACGCCTTCGAAGACAAGGAATTAGAACCTTTCGTGAAACCTATCTGCGACATCTTCCTTGAAGTCTTCGAACTCAATCGTGGGAATAATTGGTTGCGTGGCCGTGCTGTGGTGGTTGTTCTTCACCAACTTTTAGGTGGAACAATAGAGAGAAAAGTTAGGGAAAATGTAAAGGGGTTTATCCAGGATGATATGATCGTAAAGTATATTTCGATACTTAAAGATTCAATGTGGCCTGGGGGAGAGAAGAAGGTGGAAGGGAAGGCCAGAACGATGGGGGAGAAGAGCAAGAGCAGAAAAGAAGCAAGTTTGATGTTGGCAACTCTGATACCGGATTTGGCGGGGAGTGTGGTAGGTAGAGTTAATGCGCAGGCGGCTAGTCGGAGGATATTTGCTACGTTCAACAATCCAAGGCTGAAGTAAGTGTTTTCCTTTTCTGTTTTTTGAAAGTCGAATTAAGGGATGGGGGTGTGTTAAAATTGAACAGAATGAACTCAGGCAAGACTAACATACAAGTTTAGTGCACATCTTACATTTACGCTGTTAGATGAAGTTATTGATGCTTTGTTTGGGGATTTGAGTTCATAGCTGACTGGTTGCATTTGAGCGTTTGGCACTTTAGCAGAGGCGTTGGGTTGATCTTACTGAATGCATCATTGGTATGGAGTTTGGAGACGAATACCATATCGTCTTGATGAAGGGAGTTTTGGCGGACAAAACTATCGAGTGGTTATGTTAGGAGAGTAGAGGATGAATGGTGTGGAGTTTGTTGTGGTGTGATGTGGTGTATATACGAGGACTAGATTGGATTCATGGGTACATAGTGGACTCACAGCTTACAGTGCTCATGTGTGGAAATCGGTAATCGACGTAGCGTTGAAGTGCGAAGTGAAGAGAAGTGCAAATGGACGTTGAGATCGGAATGAAGATATGCGAACATGAATATTTATTTCCCATGTTGAGAGTGTGAGACTGGTAAACAGTGGATGAAAACTTGCGGTAATTGTGTTGTCACTGAGCGCTAGGTTTATGCTAAAATCATCTCGTCTAGGAAGTGTGAGCAGAGATGTGAGGTGAGAAGTATGAATCAAGAGAGGAATATTTTACGAGCTCTTGAAGTTAAGATTGAATAGCGGGAACGGATTTGTTCAAGTGAAGTCAAGTTCAAGAAGCTTTTCGTTTATGCGGGTTTCAGATGCGCGATAAAGAGCTGAGGTCACAACGGCTTGCTATTTGTATGCGGAGAGAAGTGAGGTTCGAATAGCGGAAAGCGGCTCCAGTGAAGTCTAGAGAGCTTGATTTTCATTTCTATCCTGAGTAGATA